CCCCTAGCCAGCCAGTCTCCATACAGCAGCTGACCCACTCTGGGTAGCTTCTTTAGGAACCTGAAGTCTGATTTTTGTCCCACTTTAATCAAGACATGGAAGCGGCAGGGCAGGGTTTTGCCTTGTTGCATTGATTAGCTTGGTTAGCCAGCTCCCAGCATTGCCTTCAGCAGCAGTAGGTTGTCCAGTGCAGTTTCATAGGTGTGTGGAGCAGGGAGAGAGTTGGAGTGGACTGCAGGGGCTGGCAGGCGTGCATGGGCAAAGTGGGGGGCAGGTGGGCATAGATGCAGCGAGGGGTTGATGGGGAACTAAAAGCCACATCCAGTGACCTGGAAGAGGGGGTGGGCGGAGCCAAGCTGTCCTGGGGGTGGGCAGGGGCGTGCACAGAGTTAAAACCGCTGTCTGACTCCACTACACACCATACATCTTCATCAGGAGACCAACCTCTTGTCTGCCACTCTTCTTGTGGGGGAGGGAAACACCACACACACACTCAATCTTCAACCCCTGCCCCCTCCTTTTATTTCCATGTTAAGGCCAACGCAGGCAGCCATCCCCTCCCATAGATCCGTCCTGTTGGAGCTTTGCAGCCCCCTTGCCCCCGAGAGCTCTCCACCGTGGCTCTCTGGCTTCCTGGCTAGTTGAAATCTGTCTGTCACTGGGTGACTGTCCGATGGTTTTAATTAGGACTGTTTTCCTCCTTTTGTAGGCCTATACCATTCAAGGACAGTATGCCATTCCACAGCCAGATGTAAGTTTTTTTTTTTTTGGTTTGGTTTTTTTTATTTTATTTTTATTTACACTTCTTGTCTTGAAATCCCCTTCTCCCTTCCAAAATTCTCGGGGCTTTTCTCAGCTAGCTGTCAGCTTTTGGTCCCAAATCCAATCTAGTCACTGAAACCAGGACAGGCCCCTTTGACCCTTAGCCCTTCCTGTAGCCAGTCGTAAGATCAGATTCTTCCAGCTGTCTCCCTGGACACATGCACACACTCCCTGAGCTTGGCCCTTTCACACAAGCTCAGGCTGCCCCCTCCCCCTTCCAAGCTGCTAGGAAGCAAAGCCCATGAAAGAGGAAGCAGAACAAAACGTGGCTCACTGTGTCATTGGGGTTCTTGGGGTGCAGATCCTGGTATTGCCGGCAGAGGCAGGAGCAGGGCCACGTGCTCTAGCAGTGGTACCGGATGCGGCATAGAAGTTTCAGGTTGCTTGTGGAAGGGGGATTGACTCCAGAGCTGACCCTGGCTCGTACTGGGCTGTAGGATGCTCCAGGGCTGTCCTGGCTGGCTATACACCCATCACCCCCACTTATACCTGTAGGTGCAGGGGCTGGTAATTGAGGGCAGGGCTAGTCAGAAGCTCATCTCTGCTCATGGCATGCTAGAGCAGTGAGGGAGCACTTTTGATGCTAGGCAAGGCAAGAGATGGCTAGACTGGCTTAGGAACT